TGATGATGATGATGAATTACACTTTACAGAGAGTATAACTTATGAAGGAATAAAAGAATTCATGAAAGGCTACCAGCCTAGAACTAACTTGGTAAAGGATGAGAATTGTGATCTGCTTGCAGAGATCTCCACAACATTCTGAATAAGTGAAAGAGTTGGTTCTTGCAGCTGTTGAATGTACATAGGGTTACTGATCTTAGATGAAAGTACATTCAGCTGAACCACTAGTGCATAAATCTACTCCTTTGGAGGTCAGAATTGCTATTGCAAAGATGAAAAATCATAGATCACTAGGTACTGATCAAATTCTGGCAGAACTGATTCAAGCAGGACATGAAACATTACGTTCTGAGATTGAAAACCCCATTCTAATTGGAATGAGGAAGAATTGCCCAAGTGGTGGAAGGAGTCTACTATTGTACCAGTTTACAAGAAGGACAATAAAACTGACTATTAATTGTCATGGGATACCACTGCTATCAACTTTATACAAAATTTTATCCAATATTCTTCTCTCAAGGTTAAGTCCATACATAGATTATATTATTGGGGATCATCAGTTTGGTTTTTGACATAACAAATCTACTATTGATAAGACTTTTGCATTCTTCAGGTAGAGAGAAAAAAATGGGAATACATGTACTGAGAAAAAATGGGAATACAATGAGACAGTACATCAGCTACTCATAGACTTCAAGAAAGCCTATGATTCAGTTAGGCGGGAAGTATTGTACAATATTCTCATTGAGTTTGGGGTACCCAAGAGACTAGTTAGGCTTATTAAAGTGTGTTTAAGTGAAACCCATAGTGAAGTCCATGTAGATAAATATTTGTCCAATAGATTTTCTATTCAAAATGGCTTAAAACAAAGAGATTATTGCTTTTCAACTTTGCTTGAGAATACGTCATGAGGAAGGTCCGGGAAAACCACGTGGTACCGAAATTAAATGGGATACACCAGCTGCTGGTTTATGCTGCTACTGTAAATCTATTGGGAGATAACATCAGCATCATCATCACTGGCTTGACAGCCCAGGGTGGGCCTTGGCCTTCCTCCGAAGTCTTGCCATTTCTCCCTTCTCATACCAATATGCCTCCAGTTCCTGATATCTTGGAGAACTCCATCTTCCCATCTTAATTTATTTCTTCCAAATTTTTCTTGATCCATATGGTTTGGAGTTGAAAACTCTTTGAACTGTTCTCTGAGTGTCCATGCGCACAACATGTCCACACCAGCATAGCTTATTTATCTGGTTCTTCAAATATTTGGTATAACCCTTTGTTATATTTTCACCTCCACTCTCCATTCTCTAGCGCAGCTCCAAAGATGCATCTGAGGATCCTTATTTCAAATAAGCACAGAGATCTTTCTTCTGTTTTTGTTAATGTCCAGGTCTCCAAGGCGTACATTGTTACTGGTCTCACTAATGTTTTATATATCAGCAGTATTGATTTCCTTGATCCTAATTGAAATTTTAAAGTTTTCCTTAGGCCACAGAATGTTCTGCCTGCAGATAATATTTGTTTTCGGACCTCAGTACTAACATTATTTTTACAGTTGGTTTCTGAGCCAAGATAAGTAAAGCTGTGAACAATTTCAAATAACATAGATACCATAAAGAAAAACACAGACACTCTAATTGATGCTGGTAAGAGGGTGGCCTAGAAGTAAATGCAGAG